TTTTGTGTGCAGCGAAGACAAAGAAAGACAAGACAAAAGAAGCTGTCTTTAGTTGCAGATCAACAGTGATGAGATGTGAGAGAGGCTCAAAGTGAGTGGACGCCTTTTAACGCGAGCCAAAGATTTCCAGCATGTCTTTCACGAGGAGGCTTTTTATTTTGTGTTTGTGAATGTTTGAATGTGAGTAGAAGATGCATAGCGGCACATGCATGTCTTCCTGTTCTGCAGCCAGACGCAATCTTTGGACACCGGGTTGGAACTGAAGTCGGCTCACATGGGAGCTCATTTGGCAGAGCAGCCTGTCGCCAGGGAGCGAATGAAAGCTAAACCTAATGAAAGCACACACAGCCAAATCCTGCCAGCTAACATCTGCCCCAGACTTCAAGCTACAACTGACTCCGCTCTCTCTCGTCAAAGCGAAGCACACAGCTCCCGTTTTTCTCACTTAAGTTGCAGGTCTATAGGATCTTTTATGTGTTGCATGGGCTGAATGGCCCGTGGGGCTTGGAAACAAATCAAAAACGTAGTGTGTAATTCTAAAACTAAACGGAGCAAATGTGGATTTTCTTTTAACTGTTGTTTTGCAGATGTAACACAGACTACAGAGATACACATAAGCCCTCCTCATCCATGCTGTCTTTATAAGACAGAGATAATTCTGTAATTTATTCACTGCCAGGCTACCATGTTCAGGGATTTTTTTCTGGTGGGTGGTGTGCACTTTGTTCGTTTCTCGTTATCGTGTCTTCAGGGATTTTTTAGATGAACTAAAGGAAGGTTCTCTATTAACAATACTACTACTATACTGTTACTACTTCCACTGCTGCTGTGTGCTGCTAGCTGTGGGGCTCTTAGGATGTGTTTTGTTCCCTTGATCTGTTCGCCCCTTTGTCCAGATTCAAGTATGTCAATCAACACTTGATGGACTACCATTACATACTGTAGGGATATTATATGTATAAGCATACAATATGGAACAGCTAGCACTTCAATATTATCTCTAATAATCAGAGTTAACATAGTGAAGCAACTTGATGAAAATCAGCATGTTAGCATCAACATTGTTAGAATATTAGCAGGGCGATGTTAGCATTTAGCTCAAAGCCTTGCTGTGTCTAGCATAGCTTCACATCGCTGCTAGTTTGGCTGCATGCATGATTTCATAATTGAATTTCCTACTTTTAAAGTTGTGTGTGTTTTAGATTTTTGTGGCCAAGTTTAAGGTTACAAAATGTAATGACTTTCTTATTTGATCATACTAGACATTAGTTTGAAACAGACAGGGAACATTTTGTTCAGAAAGTGCTTCATGTAGAAAATGTTGTGGTCACTTCAGAAATAATGTCTGCCTCCTATGAAGGTACAAGGAAAGATTTGAGGACAACAAAAAAATGTATTTGCAGTAATAAGCGATTCATTATTTATTTTGTTAATTGATTGTGACGTGTTCGTCTTTGAAATTCCTTCTCCTTTGCAACTTGAGCCAAGAATTGTTCTATTTCAGTGAAAAACTGAATTATTCATTTTGGGCTAAAAGACTCCCATCTGTTTTGCAAAATGATCCTCACTAATTAGTCTGAAAATAAAGAGTGGTCAGATCAGTCAATAACTGATAAGAGGGGGACAAACAGCCACACAGCGCTAACAGCTTTTCACATGAAATGCAAATGCACCAGTCCAATCAAAATGCACTCAATTAGGATAAAGAGGACTGCATAAAACACAATGATTATTCTGAATATCGCCATGGAAACGCCATTTACGCTCAAAAACCCAACACCTTTTGTACAAAGCTCAGTAACTGTATTAATGTCGGACACACATGGGTAACTATAGAAACATGTCAGCGACGTAACAATTTCCGTGAATGATTTCTTGGTCTGTGTGTTATGTTGTGTTTTCCTGTAAAGTAGGAGCCACTTACTTAGAAAGGCTGCAATTTAAAGCAGACCTCTTAAGAAGAAAGGGGACAGAACAACATACTGTATACAGTGCAGAATATACCATGCAATTTAGGACATATGATGTAGCGTATGTAATTGAGAGCGACTCGAAGACCCAATTATGTGAGAAAGAAAAAAGGCACTACTTTAGGGGCCTCATTTGTAAAAGGTACAACAAATTGCTCTCACAGGTTCAGCGAGGAAACCATTTTTCCTGTAAATGTACTAAATTAACACTCTGTACGTGGGCAGCGCTGACCTACAAAGCTAACCTTGTTTCTTTAGTATTTGGTGAAGAGTAGTGTCAGTTGGTGCTCTGATTTTGAAGCAGCCTAGGGGACTGCAGGCTCAGAAAACCAAAACGGCTCTAAATGAGAGTGCACAAATGAGGGACAGCCTCAGTGGGTACATGCTCTGGGGAAAAAAGTGAAGGAAAAAAAAGCCAATCATTTCTGATGTGTCATACCAGTAGATTCAGTTGTTAATGACAGCCGAAAGCAATTACTGTGGATCATCACTGCAGTCGTTCAGGAAGTATTTCTTAATGTATGTGTTTATACCATTTCTTTGGAGCATAATCTGCTAATCAGCACTTGATGCAGCGCAGTTATGATGCACTTTAAAATGCATTTCGATTAAGTGGGCGCATATTCATTGTGAGCAACAATATGAGAAACCGTGATGCAGATGAATGTCAACATGGGCAATATAATACCTATACATGCAGGCAATTTACTCAAATTAGAATTTGACTATGTCGTAATTGCTTACTGAAAAGTGTCATACATCTCAGGGAGTTATAATTGTACAAAATAAGTATTTTTTTCGTTTAAGCTAAAGTTAAGGGATCAAACACTTAATACTGTTTTCTACTGTTGGCCATTTAACAAAAACAATTATTTTAGTAACAATAATAATACATTTGATTTATATAGCACACTTTAAAAACAACGTCATCTCAAGGTGCTTCACAAAGCTATAAGGAGAAAATAATAAAACAAATCAAATAAAAATATATCTAAGGAGCATATTGAATAAAATATGGTAATATAAAAAAGAAAAAGAAAAAGTTAAGAGCATAAAAGGTTCAAATACAAATAAATAAAGTCAAGGACAGTCAGTAAAATGCGGTGCGGAACAGGTGGGTCTTGAGGCATTTCCTAAAAACTGAGAGTGATGCAGAGGTCCGTATGTTCGCTGGAAGCTGATTCCACAGACGTGGACCCAGGGAGGAGAAAGCACGGTCTCCCATGCTGACCAGTTGTGTCCGCGGAACAGCCAGGAGATTGCAGCTGGCTGACCTGAGTGTGCGTGAGGTATGTGAATGTTTTCTGGTTAGTAGAAAATGAGATAAGGAATCAAAGCTTATCATTACAAAGAGGAAGAATGCTCACTAAACCTACAGTGATTGTTTTTTATCACCTACATTTGGTCCTTTTCCAAACTAGTTTAAAAGTGACCACAGCCCTATATAAAGTTCTAACGGTTAAATGATTTAATTAATATGAACGGTCAATTTCCAATGTTTCTTTTTTTTATTTTACTTTGTTGTAATAACCTTAATTTTAATAATTTAGATGTATTATTGCAATATTAATTTACTAACCATTATGGCAATGGCAGCAAGTGAAAATTAGATTTCTGCATTTCCAAATGATGCCCACCTGTAAGACAGTAGGTGGTTTCCCACAGTTTGTCTGGGGTCATTAATAATTAGAGCATACATAAGAACAAGTTAATGATTCTTTGACGATTTTTCTTTTTCTTTTAGGACAAGTTAGACTCACCGCATCATGTTAGCATCCTTTATTGTATTTTTCAGGATGGTAATTTATAACGTTGTTCACATTTTTATAAACTTTCATGAAGTATGAAATGGTGGACATTCATCATGTGAGAGCTACTGTAAATTTAAAGTTTAAGGGTCATGAGGGGTGTAGTGAAGTGTAAATTAATATCAGTGTTGCATTGTTAATAGAACGATTTTGTTTAAGCCCGCGTCACACTGTCCCGAAATTGACACCAGATGGAAACACGATAAAGGAAATGTTCAAATTTGGCTCTGATCGTAACAAGCTCGGGCCATTTGTGAGGGCATCTTAAGCCATCGTATGACTGCCGGTGGAGTTTCTCAGGCTCCGGCAGCAACTTCGTGAGCGGTGGCAAAATCTTTGGCATGCCAAAAAATTGACGAAGGACCTTGCGAAGGTTAATTTTCGTGTTGAATTCGTGAGTCCATTTTGCCCTTCGTAAGGCACCCGTGAGGGCATCTTGTCAAATTGTGTCATCTTCGTCTGATCATCGGGCATTTTTCGCCTCACGAAGACAATACGAAGGAAACAAGAAGCTGCCCGATTGTCTTAGGAAGGCAACACGACTACGTGAAGCCCTCGCAATGCCGTTGTGTAGCCATCGTATTATAGTACGATGACATCGAGATTGCATTTATTGCACAACAAAATCATGTAAACTTATTATGTAAATAACCCAATTTGTGTTCTGTGAAACTGAAAAGGATATTACATTGTTGTTGTTACTTTCGTTGCAGTTGTGAATGTAATTTAGGTTAACTTCCTGTTTTATTTAGAAGGCGAGTTTACGCTGTTGACAGGAAGTTGTTGTTGCTATGGAAACAACATGACGGAGATAAGTAATATCTTCTAATCTACATATAAAGACGGAGAAAGTAAAGAATAAAGTGCATGTTTAAATGTTAGCCCCCCCCCGAAGAGGCACAAGCTCTTACGTTGAGTCTGGATACATTCTAAATCATCAGTAAAGTCTACGACCATATTTTCGTGTGTGGTTCGGGTGCCATCGTGTGGCCTTCTGTAGGCATCGTACTTGCTTCGGCTGTTGCTTGGCTGTTGACCAAGTTCGGGGCCATCTTCGTGTGAAATTTACAATTCCATATTCGTGTGTCCATCTGGTGTCAATTTTGGGACAGTGTGACGTGGGCTTTAATCAATACTACAAAGAAGACTGATGTCTACTGTATGAGTGAGGCTGAAAAGAAGAACACTTCATTAAGTATTAGCCATTTAGTCAGAGTCATTTGTACAAATACATCTTCTTTTATTTCACGTACATTTTTTTTTTACTTTTACGTTGAAGTTTTCACAATCTAAATGATTCAACAACAAAATGAGGATCTACCACAACAAAGTCCAAATTTCCTACTGGGAAAATTATGCAAATGTCACTGTAGTAAAATTGACACATGTATTTTGCTAACCAGCAAAGGTACACTTAAAGTAATAAAAAAAGACAAAAATAGGACAAAAAGGTGGTTCATGTACGTACTTTGACCAATCAAGTCATGAGGATCCAAGTGGTATGTTAGATTCTAAACAGTGTTTGAGGACTGATTTTTGTAAATCCTCAACATTTTTCATAAATAAAATCTTTTTTCTTCATTTTCCATTGATAAATAATATATATTTATTAATATAGGAGTCAATTGGGGGAGCAGGGACGGATAATGACCCATAGAAGCCCTTCCTGAATCCATGGAAACTTCAAAAGTCTGAAGAATGTTCTTGATGAACGAGTGGGGTATATCAATTTTGGCTAATGCATCCCATGAATATTGCTATGAATAGTTCTTTTGAATGAATATGTACATACATGTACATAATGAAGCATTAGGTACACATATGCAAAGTATTGAACATAGGAAATGATGGACTGTTTCATTGATTTGTTCAGTGAATAAGCATGGCGCAAGACTAAACAAAGTAGGTTAATATCTTAAATACAAATTTGTACTGTACATGGTTCAGCCAAGTCTGTAGATCCAACCCAAAACTTTCTTTTTTTTTGGGCATATAAATTTCAAAAAGCTGATAAATGACACCTGTTCCCTTTAGGTCCCCATAGCGACAACAGTTTTCACTCCTTATCCACGTTGAAGAAGTTGCCCGCTGGCAATTTTGTATCGGAATGTCCTACTACGACTTTAGGATTTTGAAACACAGTTTCCAAGCACAAGGTCAATATCCAGTGATTTAAGGTACTGCTCATCTTGATAAGACGCCCCAAATATTTTCTCTACCACTCTCCCGGCAAGAATGGAAGTTCAGTAGTCTTATTTTCAAAAAAATACATTGTACTTTGGGCATTTCCACAATCCAGAATCTTGAATTTATAAAAGTCACATCATTTTCATGTTAAAACGACGACCACCAGCTTGTCCCTCTGCCGAGTCAACGTTAGTGCCATTAGACTTTGACCGAGGCACATATTCAACATCTATGTTGTTTTTATGTTTTCCTTTCCCTCTGCTCCAAACGAAAAGGAGCAGGAAACAAAACAAGACCACTCCCAGGAATGTGAAACAACCCATTGCAGTGGACACTAAAATAGTCTTTAGGTCCAAACCGAGGGTCACACCGGCCGTCCCGTTGGCAGTGCTGTTGCTGGGATCTGTGTAGTGCTGGGTCCTGTTAGCGTACAGCGATCCCAGGCTTTTCACCGCCAAGGATGTCATCAGGGTGTCATTCCCAGCACTGTTGGAGGCGAGGCAAAGATAGACTCCGCCATCTTGCACCTCCGCTGACTTGATCTCCAGAGTACCATTGTCGTGGACGGTGACTCTTCCATGGCTCCTGCTTGTCAGGACTCGTCGCCGTGGGGACATCCAGGACACAACGGGCTTGGGTTTCCCTTCAGCACTGCAACGCAACATGGCCTGCTGGCCCTCATCCACTGTGATGGTTTGTGTTTTATTCTCACGGATTTTTGGCTTGGTACATGTCACGTAATAAGACAGGAGCGTGTCCTTAAACTCCTGGAAAGGTCTGCCACGATTACCTTCAGGCGTGCTGCACTCCGGTTGCAGGTCCCCATAGAAGATGGAGGGCCTTTTCTGTAGGAGCCACATGAGACGACAGTCGCACACCAAGGGGTTGTTGTCAATCAAAAGAGCCTCCAGGGCCTCAGGAGACTGAAAAACACCTTTCTCCAGTGTATCCAGTCGGTTGTGAGAGACATTGAGGACTTGGAGCCCCCGCAGGCCCTGGAAGGCATACGGTTCAATGGTGGTTAGCTGAGCTCCAACCAGATGGAGCTCTTTAAGCCGAACCAGCTCCATCAGCATAGCACCTTCAATGTGCCTAATGCGGTTGAAGGACAGGTTGAGGTGGGTCAGGTAGGGCAGATGCTTCAGGGCCTGGTAAGGGAAAGAGGACATGTTGGTGTTGGTCATGGACAGAGTGGTCAGGTTGAGGCCATGCAGGGTATTGGCTGGCACATGGTCTAGGGATGGCCAATTATCAATCTCTAAATGCCGCAGCCGGAACAGCTTTTTGAACGAGTAGGGATGCAAAGTGCTGATGCTGAGGTATCGTAGATGGAGACTGACCAGGTTGTGCAGGTGGGAAAGGGCCTCAGTGGGTACAACAGTAAGGTTGCACCTCTGTAAGGTTAGCATCTCCAGGCCTAAAAGTCCACTGAATGCACGGTGAGAAATGTAAACCAGATCGTTGTCACCCACTTCCAAAAACCTCAGATTGTGCAAGTCCTGAAACATGTAATCCAGAAGGATGACGATTTTGTTGTCACTTATATCCAGTCGGGTAAGATTTGTCAAGCCTGTGAAGACGCCCAGAGGAATGAGCTTGATTCGATTGCTCTTGAGACTGAGAGAGTGCATGGTAAACAGGGCATTAAAAGCCCCAGGCTCAACATAACTGATAATATTTCCACTGAGGTCAAGTTCCTCAAGCCCAGGAAAGGCAAAAAAGTCATCAGGGTTGATCATTGTCATCTTGTTCTTACTCAGGTCCAGGATCCTGGTTTCGGTGGGGATGCCGTCCGGGATGGTAGGCATGCGCTTGCGGTGGCAGACGACTGCCTTGGTCTGCGCCGAACACTCGCAGCGGGATGGACATCCCAGAGTGGCACCCGCGAAGACAGCCACGAGGGCCAGTCCCAGGAAGGGTTGCCAGCATGAGACGACCGTGTGCAGCATGACTCTGCTCATACCGTCGACCATTCTGTCACGGTTCTGCCAGAAAAACAGAGGGACAAAGAGAGAAAGGAAGGTTAGTCACTCATTGACTTTGTGTTGGCTGTGAATGAGTTGATGTAACAAGGCAGGACGGATATAGGGAAAACATATCAAAGGTGATTTTATGGATTAGTAAAACAACAGATTGGAGTGTCCATGTCACATTCCTGCTATTCTCCTCCATTTTGTCTACGCAACTGCTATGCTCCAAATGTTTGCTTGGTATCTCTTCTCAAACAAATGAAGTGCTTCTTTCTCTTTTGCTTTTTACCATCAGTTGTATTTGTCAGTTTCTATTAGTTTTTTCTTTCACCCCCGGGACATTAATCAAAGCACAACAACAGGGCTTGTTGAAATGCTTCCCTGGTGAGTGTTAGTTCTTATTTTGATTTTCACCAAAATCAAATTAACTGTTAAAGGAACCAAAAGTGCAGCCTTTGTAGCCAATTGTATCACTTTAGATAATATTTGGAGTGCAAATCCAAGCCAGGAAACATATCAGGGTGACTCAGAGCCAACATGTTGCATCTCTTCTAGACATGTTTTTTTTCACACAATATTTTCCTTCTCTGATAATATTAAAACTTGTATCACACCCTTTCGCACCAAAGAATCAATCATGGAAAAAATGTTTTCACAGTTGTTCGGTTCATGGACAGGTATGAACAAACTCAGTAACCTGGAAAACTTTTCTTTATTCAACGTGGGCAGAATATTTTAAGCAAAAGCATAAAAACAATGTTCTCAAACGTATTCAAACGACTACAAACAAATAATTGACTAACAAAATGTATTATTCTGGTAATTGAACCTTATCTATTCAAATATATGTATTATAAAAGAGTCACTATAACAGGTATGTCACCCATGTCAAGTAATTTCAATTAGATAAAAGTCTATAATTTAGCTTCATTGTGATGTTTTTTTTTCCATCCACTCACTGCAGTAAAACCATGTCTCTTTTTGTTCAGGGTGGCAAGGGTTCAGCTTGCTAAAGAAAACACCATTTAATAGCAAAAAGGAAAACTAAGGGAATTTGTATTCAACTTCATCTTGTTATATGTGCATGTGTTTGAATAAGATGAGTAATATCGGGCTCTTTTGTACATAGCTCAAATGAATATATGCTTTCATAAAACCTATGATTAACATTTTTTTTATTTGCAATTAAATAAATACATTTCGTTTTTCTGCCATTCGGGCAAATGGTTCAATTACACCTTAATTTAAAAATACCAATATCTAACGTGTCAGGCTTTAGAGGGTTAAAACACAACCATGTTCTTATTCTATGTACTTTATATGCTGTCTTTTCATCCATAAGCTTACTCATATACATATCACATAAGCACCTGCTCATATATTTCACATAAGAACATGACGATGAGCACATGTAAGAACATAATGCACTGCTTGCCACAAACAGACTGCGTGAGGGGTTGGAAAGAATTGCAAAGCATCCCTGCCTCATTTGGTGTGTCATGGGCTGTGCTAAATTTAAACCATGAGAGGAATAATCTGAATTTCTCCTCAGGCTTTTTCCATGCGAACAGATTATGCGACAAAGATAATAAAATGGCATACCCATCTAAAGAAAAAACATATATGTACCTAAGGCCACATTTACACGAGAACGAAACGGCTTGTATCTGCATAGTTTCTCTTACGTATAGCCCTATTATTTACACGAGGCCGTAACAAACGGACCCCACAAACGATAACGGGTCCCAAGGTGGATAGATTTGCAAACGAAACTCTCTGGGGGGGTCAAACGAGTCAGTGTAATTGCCTCTATACGAATATTTCCTGAAAAAATAACGATAGCCCCACCTCTCCCCGCCTCTGCTGCTCACTGCTGTAGCATGGCCAGTAGCTACTGCTAGTGCTACTGCTACTGACCATGCTACAGATGTTAGTGCAACATCTACAGCTCCTCTACCACAACCATCAGCAACAAGTGGACATGGAGAATTACATGAACTACTACATGTTGCTAAATCCACCGCGGGGCATAAACAGAAGGGTAGCCATGGCAACATTGCTCCGGGCCATGCTCCGGGCTGCTCCGGGGTCTTCTTCGCTGCTTTTGGTGTATTTTGTGGCGGAAGTTACAGCGCCACTTACAGTCCCGGCATATGTACTACAGCGTGTCCAGCGCTTTTGAGCGGTCTCGTGTGGAAGTCCAGCGCCACTTACAGTCCCGGCATATGTACTACAGCGTTTCCAGCGGTCTCGTTTGAACAGGCACGTTAAATGAAACGAATGCATGTGAACGGAAGACCCGAAAATAGGGTTTTCTTTCAAAATGGAGTCAAAGCATAAATGCTATGTTATCCAGGTCTAGATCATGGGTGTCTAAACTTTTTTCACTGAGGGCCACATACAAAAAAACATACAAAGGGCTGGGCCCCTCACTAGAGGTGAGGTTATTGCCTCATAGGTTAAATTATAATTCAGCAAAAATCAATCAAATGTAGGTCAATTATGCTTTCTACTTGAATATGATTTAAGAAACATCACAGCTCTCCATAGGGTTTCAGTTATCCTGTTGCAGCTCATCCCTTAAAACAGAAGCCCCAGATTGCTTATAATAAGGGGAAATATGAAGGGTCTATTTCAAGTTTGTTATGGAAATAAAACAAAGATTTGTTAGAACATGTTCTCAGCTCTAATTGATTGAATGTCTTTGAATAGTGGCCTTATTAACACATGAAAACTACTGTGTAATATAGGCTCACATATATATTTAAGAAGTACAATATAAGACAAGCACGACTTTCACACACACACACACACACACACACACACACACAACACACACACACACACCACACACACACACACACACACACACACACACACACACACACACACACACACACACACACACACACACACACAGGTGGGTGTTGTGAAAATGAAAACAATTCACAATGGTATTCGGTGCAGGAGTCAACAAATCACCTTGTTTTACACACTAGTTCAATCAAATATTTTAAGAAACACATGACTAGCGCGCGCACACACACACACACACACACACACACACACACACACACACACACACACACACACACACACACACACACACACACACACACACACACACACACACACACACACACACACACACACACACACACACACACACACACACACACACACACACACACATACCATTATACTTTTAGAATTTGGGCCAATTAGAAATGGACAACAGGCCGCATTTGGCCCCCGGGCCGTAGTTTGGACACCCCTGGTCTAGATGGTAATTTTCTCTTTCCTTTATGCATGTCATTGGTCTGACATGTCTTTTTCTTTAAATATGTATGTGTATTGAAGGATCTGTATCATGTGTTGGCTTGTGTATTAGTTACTGATGCTCATTGGTTTTCCCTTTTTCTGTGTCTTTTTCCAGCAGATTGCTAGAAAGCTGTATTCCTTTGTAGATAGTGGAACTGTACGGTGCATACAGTACTGCTCACTAGTAAAACATTATGGAATATGCATTGACAGGTTCAAGTGTTGAACCGCTTTCTAATGCAGATTATTAGTGATGCAGAGCTTAATCTTTACCCATTCCATCAAAACCATTAAATATAATAACATTCATGCACAAAAGACCTTTCATTCTGCAAAACAATATTGGAAAACTTGATTTGGGTTTTAAAGATTGCTGCATTTTATATTTTAACGGGCAGGTTTCATGTATTTTAGATTTAGCGTCTAACCATATTGTGTATTTAGTATATAATTAAATCTCAATAGATTCTTAGTAGGATAACATAACACACACTTTTATTAATAATTCTGCATCCCATTTTTGTAGTATAGTTTGTGTGTACTGCTTACGAAGTGTATACGCATTGAAAATGAAAACAATTCACAATGGTATTTGGTGCAGGAGTCAACCAATCACCTTGTTTTACACACTAGTTCAATCAAATATTTTAAGAAACACATGACTAGCGCACACACACACACACACACACACACACACACACACACACACACACACACACACACACACACACACACACACACACACACACACACACACACACACACACACACACACACACACACACACACACACACACACACATTGCAGCAGCATATGATTCCATGGTTTACTAAGTGGGTGTCTAATCAGTGTAATGATTGGGAGTATTTGTAACAGTGTGTAATCAGAGGGAGAGTGAGCCGGTGCTGTGATCGCCTCACCTGGGCACTGAATGAGAGAACCATAAAGTACCTCATCAGGAGTAGCAGCTTCAGGAACAAATGCTGCACAGAATTAGGCAGCTGCCCCAGGGGAAACTTCTGCAAATAAAATCCCAACTATCGGCTCATGTGCAGTGGATGTCTCTGAGTGTGTGTGCATCTCACAGCCGAGTGCATTGCTTATTCTTCCATTTTCTTATAATGTCCTTTATGATTTGACTGTTAACAACATGTAATGAATGCATTTCATGTTATTTTGCTGGTTCACAGTGTGCTGCTTTATTCATTTTCTATTACAGAACCACTTGGGATGTTACCATGGCTTTTGGCCTTGAAGGAGAAAATGCTTTTAGCAGTGTAGCATTTCTGTAAACATCTCTGATTAATACGGATGATTGGCATAATTTAGACAATGTGACCTCAGGGAAAGAAAGTTGTAGCAGAATGAATATATTCTGCTGCCTAAAACAACATTCTGTACTTTCGTGTTCAACAATCAGATAGAAGAAGAAAAGGTAACCAGATTATCTACAAAAGGAGACCATCATTTACTGCCACAAATTAAAATGGATATATCTCTCAAAAAATAATAACTTTACAGTCAAATAAAAGCTTCTGTCAGCTCCTGGAATACAGTGAATACCAACATATTGACCTTAAGGTACATTTTTCAGCATTTTCCCCCACATTTAACTTTTTTTCTCATTATTCTGGAAACTTCTGGTGACATTCAGTAACATTCCTGTAATGGCAGAACTATTCCAATGCACAGT